GCCCCAAAAGGTAAATCTATAGAGGTAGAGATTAGTGGCTGTCTGGGGCAGAGAATGAGAGTACAGAAGAAATGTTCTAAAACTGATTTATAGTGATGGTTGTACAACTTGGTAAATTTTCTAAAAGCCATCAAAATGTGTGAATTGTATGGTATGTAAAGTTGTTGTTGTTGTTGTTATGTGCTGTTGAGTCAGACCCGACTCAAAGTGACCCCTCCTTGGGTTTCCAAAGTGGTATCACTGTGGAGGTAGATTGCCCAACCTTCCTTCTGAGGAGTGATTGGTGGGTTTGAACCTCCAGCCTTCTGGTTAGCAGTCAACTGCCTTAGGCACTACGCTACCATAGCTCCCGGTATGTAAAGTACGCCTCTATAAAGTTGTAAAAAGAAGCCCTGGTGGCTCAATGGGTAAAGTGCTTGGCTACTAACTGAAGGGGCAGTGGTTTGAACCCACCAGCCTATGCTTCCTCAAAGATTTATAGTCTTGGTATGGGGCAGTTTTACACTGTTCTATAGGGTCGCTATGAGTCAGAATTGACTTAATGACAACAAGTTTTTTAATGTTATAAGAAAAGAAATTGCAATTAAATTTTGAATATCTAACATTCATTGAACACCTAGTATGCATGTTATATATATTTTCTCCAGTGTGCACAGCTCATTCGTTTGTTTATCTCAACTCATCTTTCTTGAGCACCTATTATGTGCCAAGTACCATGCCAGCATCTGGAATTATGGTGGTGAACTAGACTTGGTTCAAGGTCTGACGGAGATCAAGATCTAGTAGGTATGGGAAGGTCAGGGGATGAGAAAGCCAGCAACGACAAGAGAATGTCATTGGGGCTATCACGGGTGAGCATGGTGCTGAAGCAGCCCAGAAGAAGTGATCCTAACCCAGACTTAGGGTTTGCTAGGAGGGCAGGGAAGGTTTTGTGCATGGGACTGGGACCTGAAGGATAAGGAGCAGTTCCAGGTGAAATGGCTGGGGGTAGGATGTGGGGAATGAAGGTCATTCATACATTTATTCATTTCTTTTCCTGTTGGTTTGACTGAAGAGAGGAGTAGCCATGAGAGAGAAGTCAGGGGTGCAAGAAGGGCTTTGTGGGTGAAGTTATGGCCATTCCGCCAAAGAGGAAACTGAGCCTCAGAGAGGTGAAGTGATTTGCTAGGTTACACAGCTGGAACAGGGATACATACATAACCCAAGTTTGGCTCAAAAGCCCATCTCTCTCCATTCTTCCCTCCTGCCTCCAAGAAGGGGCCAAGGAGAGTTAGATACACTACTGCAGTCTTGAGGGCTAAGAATACTCCTGCCCCACCCAGGGATGCTCCTTTGTCTGTTGGAATGATCCCCCACCCTGTGAAGACTCGATCTTTAATTCCCCTTTGGATCTAGGGTAGGGAGTCAGCATGAAGGTGTCCAGGGCTGAGGGGAAGGGACCACTGAATGTTCCTGTCTGGCTGGGAGCGTTGGACAGGGACTGGGACTAGAACTGTAGACTAGGCTTTGGCACCCATTATCGGTGTGACCTTGGGCTAGTCTCTACCTCTCTCTGGGCCTCAGTGAGACCATTGTGAGTGCTGTACTCTGTGTTCCATGTAACTGACATTGAAGACCGTGACTTTGACCTCACATATCTCTAGCTCTACTTGGGCTGGAAGCAGGTGACCATCTTGTCCTAGTTTGCTCAGGACTTCCTGGGTTTTAGCACTGCCACTATTATCCTGGGCATATTGGCATTGTTGACTGCCTAGCTGGAAGGAGAGTAGAGAGCATCTGTTCAGCCTCCCACTTCATCTTACCCACAAAGAGCAAGACACACAGCACCTTGCTTTTGCTCCTATGTGGCCATAGAGCTATTTCATAGCCATTTTGTTTGTACATGTCATGTTTCCAGGACTCAGTTGAAAACCCCTTCATGTCCCCGAACCATTTCCTTCCGTCTTCTGGGCTCAGCTCAGCCATCTTCTCTAGGAAGCTTCCCCAGTCCTGGGCCTGCACTCCCTCCTAAGTGGTCATGATAGTCCTTTAGCACACATCTCAGGATGGCCTGTTTGGCTGCCTGTCTTCCCATTAGCTTCCCCTGAACTTCTGAAGCTCCTGAATGTTCCTTCTTTATGCTCATTTCCCCAAGATTTGACATAGGGTCTGGCTCAAAGCAGTTGCTCTATGAATGATCATGGAATACCTGAATCCCTCCAGAACCCCGAACAGGGCTGGGCCCCAGAGGAGGATTTCACACCCCCCTCTAGGGCAACTCTGTTGGCAGAATGATCCTTCCTGGAAAAAGAACAGGGAGACACTCCCAGGTATGGCTTCTTAACTCTTTCTGTTCCACTGGCCATCTATGCGAAGCCTGTGGACTCCTTCCCAGAATAATTACAATGCATTAGGATTACAATGAAAACAACTTTACTAAAATACAGTTATCAAAATAAAAAGTATAATTATATTAACATATGTGCTTCTTTGTAATATACTAAATAATATGTTTTAGTTCTGGGTCTAATATAACTTTAATTTCAGAGTTGTGGGAACGTAAATGATATTTTGAGCTATCGACAATAACCGTAGTATGATATGAAAATATCTGTGATTTTTATTAGTGACAAAATCACAAGGATTTCTACTTAATGCCTACATTCATAATCAAAGGAAGTGCTAAATACGATTTAGAGGTTGGTGAAAATAAAGATAGGGCTTTTGTTTATCTCCAAGTCATGGACCACTCAGAATTTTATCCTCAGACCCCTTGGGGGTCTATGAACCCCTCCATTAAGGCAAAGGGATTTTGATTCTTTAGACCAACAAGAAAACCATCAAAAGATGGGAAGACAAAGAGTAAGGAGTAGTGACCAGGCTGGGTTGCATTAAGCTGAGAAAGGTTTCAAGACAGGCGAGTTTCAGAGCTGAGTGTTAAGGGTAAGTCCATTTTGGCAGGGAGCAAGGAGCCAGCGTTGAGAGAAGGGAAGGAGGGTTCTCTCTGTGACTGAGTCCCAAACACAGTGGACTAAGATCACAACCACAGCATCCCGGAGCAAACCTTTGTGTTTCTTTTGTTGCAGAGAATACCAAGACATTGTCTCTGTAACACAGGGTACCTGCCCTGAAAATTACACCCAAAGAGACAAAAAACAAACACAAGAATAACAAGACAAAAACGAAATTGCAATTCAAAAAATGCGGCTGGAAATATTGAAACATGTCACATGTCTTGTTAAGCACACACAGGGCAAGCCACAGGCGTTTAAAGGGAGGGGGGTCACCTCCCCTCTGAGGTTTGTGGTGAAGACCTAACCGGGTAATGAACAAGGGGCGGGCAGTGAGGGAGCTGGGTTGGAGCATGTGCCTTGGGATTACTTTGTTCTTCTGAGGACTCAGAAACTTCTGTAAAATGGGGGTAATAACTCAGTATGTGGTACCTGACATATACTAAGCACCCAATAATGGACGATATTTTTTTAAAATAATGAATATTTGCACACTGGTTCAAGAGGCACCGGAAGACTGGAGAAGTTGGTCTTTAGGTTGGTGGATCTTAAAAACAGATTTTAATGAATGAGTAAGGAAAAGGGACCCCCAGATCTGGGTCAGCTGCACCCAAATGTGTGTACGTGCGCGATGGTGTTGGGGTGGTCAGGGCCGATGGGCGGCAGCAGCTCAGAGGCTCTGAGGCCCAGGTCAAGCTTGCGGGTGTCAGATTCCAGAAGGGTCTTTGCTCAGTTCCCGCAATTCCCATCGCCAACTACCACTAAGCTGCTAGGCGCCTCCACGGGCCCGGGCTCTGCCTCTGTAGTGCCCAGGCAGATCTAGGGAGAATGAAGCCCGCGTCTGGGGCGGAGGGCTCCGGCGAAGCAGCCGGAGAGCTCACTCCCGGGTCCGCTGCATGGGGGACGTACTGGCGGCAGCGCTGCCTTATCTTGGGAAGATCGATCTACGCCGTCCCACACTGGAGTGGGGGTGGGTGCGGGTGAACCTTCGGATGCTGTGGTCCCCGTGGCTCTGTGACCTTCTAGGCCGAGGTCTCCCGCGTCCCAAGCAGGGGGAGTTGGGGTCAGGGAAGAAGAGAGCAGCAGAGCCTCCACAGCAGACAACGTGGGGGAGGGGGCACCCTAAAGGGGGAGGTGAGCGGCTGCCTAGACAGCCGGTGCCTTTAAGAGGCCGAGCTGGCTCTGCGGCGTTTCCAGCTAAGCGGGTCCCTGATGCAGCTCTGCGGTCCGAGTCCCCCAGCAGAGAATCCGAGCTCCGCCGGGCGGCCGGATCCGGCACAAGAGAGGGCGTGGTCCATCTGGGGGAGTGGGCGGAGTCAGCCCTTGCAGAAAGCCGGTCTAAGGAGCGGAGAAAGCAGTGGATCCCAAGAGTGGGTGGAGCCATAGGGGCAATAGGCGTGGCTAGGCGCTGCGGTCCGCGGAGGGCGGGGCCTCGAGCTCTTGGAGGAGCGCCGCAGAGGGAGGATGAGAGGGCGGAGTTAGAATCAGGGGCGGGGCTTGGGTCTGCAGTGGGCGGGGCCCGCCGCAGAGGAGGTAGTGCCGGCGAAGAGTCCTCGGAGTGCGGCTGCCGCGGTGCCTCCACAGCGTCCCTGACAGCGCCGGCGCCCGGACCCGCGACCCTCGCCAGCTTTGCACAGCCCCGGCGGCCTCTTCTGCGGCTCGAGCAGCGGCCGAGCGCGCCCCAGACCAGGCCCTCGCCTCAGCGCCCACATCCGGGGGCAGCCGGCGCGCAGTCGCTGCGGAGGCCGCATCTGGCGAGCATCTGGCACCGCCCGGCCCGCGCGCTGGAGCC